GGGGGGGAGAAAAAATTCCCACACATTTTACCAAATGTGTCTGATTTGGTAAATTTTATTTAAAATAATAAAGAATTTACCCCTATCAAATAACTAAAAGTGCGTATATGATGTAACAAAAATATAAAAAAATGAATAAAAATAATGACCTTATAAAATTTGTGAGAAATATTTTACAAAAAGATTATAAACCCGAAGAAAATTTAAAACATAAATTGGCCAAAGGCCTTCTCAAAGAGAGAGCCTAGCATAATTCAATAAAATATAGTTAAAAAAATTATCTAAAGGCCTTCATTTTTCGAAAAAAACTTAGAATGTTTGGTGTATAATCTTAGTAATTGTTTAAAATAAATATAAATATGAGGGCTAACTTTGAAAATGCTAAAATTAATTTTGTAATTATATTCATTTTCGAAAAGCTATTTAATACTTTGATAGTAAATTTCAATAGTAGCTCTAACTTGTAATTTTAGATCATTCACTAAAGTGAATAAATATTTAAAATGTATTTACTCACAGAATTGAAATAAATAAGTCAAAGATATTATAGTTAGTTGATATACAAATAACCTATGCAGGATTCTATTTAAATATATTTCGTAGTTAATATTTTAGGAAAAAATAAATTAATCTTACAATTATTATAATCTTATATTGGCCTACTATTATAAATTATATTATAAAAACATTTCCGGATGTTATGAAGATTAAAGTTTAATCATAATAGTGAAATTTATTATCATTTGAAGTGATAAATGTTTTATTAATAAAATCTTGAATTTAATCAAATCAAGGAATGACGATTTGCAGGAAAATATCTCGTCATTAATTTTGAATATATAAATAAAAGCGAATTTAGGAATTTTATTGTTGATATTACTGTTAGTGACTTAAAAATATAAAACATATCTAAACTGAAATTTTAATTTAACATGTTTACAAAACATATTTTTACCCATTTAGTTTAAAAAAATTTAAAAAAGTTCAAAAATAACGATTATGACAATTGTCACTTATCCATAGTACACTTTCCCTGAAATATTAATTTAATATGTACAAAACATATTTTTACCCATTTACTTTAAAAAAACTCAAAAAAGTTCAAAAATAACGATTATGACCATTGTCACTTTTCCATAGTACACTTTCACTGAGATATTAATTTAACATGTTTACAAAACATATTTTTACCAAATCTAAAAAAGTTTAAAATTAACGATTATGACAATTGTCACTTTTCCTTAGTACACTTTCACTGAAATATTAATTTAATATGTTTACAAAACATATTTTTACCCATTTACTTTAAAAAAACTCAAAAAAGTTCAAAAATAACGATTATGACCATTGTCACTTTTCCATAGTACACTTTCACTGAGATATTAATTTAACATGTTTACAAAACATATTTTTACCAAATCTAAAAAAGTTTAAAAATAACGATTATGACAATTGTCACTTTTCCTTAGTACACTTTCACTGAAATATTAATTTAATATGTTTACAAAACATATTTTTACCCATTTACTTTAAAAAATCTAAAAAAAGTTCAAAAATAACGATTATGACAATTGTCACTTTTCCATAGTACACTTTCACTGAAATTTTAATTTAACATGTTTACAAAACATATTTTTACCCATTCTTTAAAAAAACTTAAAAAAGTTTAAAAATAACGATTATAATAGTTGTCACTTTTCCATAGTACACTTTCACTGAAATATTAATTTAACATGTTTACAAAACATTTTTTTATCCATTTACTTTAAAAAAAGTTTAAAAATATGACAATTGTCATTTTTCCATAGTACACTTTCACTGAAATATTAATTTAATATGTTTACAAAACATATTTTTATCTATTTGCTTTAAAAAAACTCAAAAAAGTTCAAAAATTACGATTATGACAATTGTCACTTTTCCATAGTGACTTTCACTGAAATATTAATTTAACATGTTTACAAAACATATTTTTATCCATTTACTTTAAAAAAACTCAATGAAGTTCAAAAATAACGATTATGACAATTGTTACTTTTCTATAGTACACTTTCACTGAAATATTAATTTAACATATTTACAAAACATATTTTTATCTATTTGCTTTAAAAAAGTTCAAAAATTATGATTATGACATTTGTCACTATTACCTAAAAAATTATCTATCAAAAGATATAAAATAGATGAAATTACGTAAAATATAAATATATAATAAACTTTTTAAAATAAATATTAAAAAATATCAATCAAAAAAATATATTTAAAAAAATTTATTAAAAAAATATATTAAAAATTATCAATCAAAAAATATCAATCAAAAAAATATATTTAAAAAAATATATTAAAAAACATCAATCAAAAAAATTTATTAAAAAAATCATATAAACACAAAAAATTAAAAATATAAAAAAAAATATCAATCAAAAATATATATTAAAAATATTAATTTAAAAAATCATATAACACAAAAAAAAATATAAAAAAAAATATCAATCAAAAAAATATATTTAAAAAAAAATATCAATCAAAAAAATATATTTAAAAAAAAATATCAATCAAAAATATATATTTAATAATATTAATTTAAAAAATCATATAACACACAAAAAAAATATAAAAAAAAATATCAATCAAAAAAATATATTTAAAAAAATTTATTAAAAAAACATATAACACAAAAAATAAAAAAAATTAGCGATCAAAAAGAAAAATATCAATCAAAAAATATATTGTAACAAATTAAAATATATTAAAAAAAAAAATATAATATTAATCTTAAAAAATTATTAATAATAACGAAAAAATTATTAATAGCACATTAAAATTACCCTGCCTACCATTACCTCACATTGCCGAATTGCCGGAATTTTCACTTTGCCGCTAACATATACATTAACTTTTAAAAATATAAAATTGAATTCCCAACTCAGTTAACTTTCTAAGATATTGCCATTTTTAGAAACGCGAAAATTCCAAAATACAATATATATTTAAATATCTCAAAAACTAATTAAGCTAAAATCATAAAAAACCGGAAATAGGAAACATAAAATCCTATTAATAAAAAGATAAATGGTTTTTTTCAAAGTTTTTTTATAAATAGACCTACTTCCTTATATTTTGAAAATCCTACTTTTGCCAGATTAAGAAAGAAAAAAATATTTTGCCAGATTGAGAAAAAAAAATCTTTGCTGGGATTCGAACCTAAGTCTATTAGATTTGTAAGCGACGCTCTCGCCGATTGGGCCACAAGTCACTTTTCAAAATTAACAATTTTTAAATATATATTATAAATTGTGAAAGTGTGACTGACACAGTGTGATAAGGCTTTTATATATATTATAGATAGATGTTTATGAAGTATATAGTATTTTAATTTATGTGCACAATAAAAAATCTTTTAAACTAAATTTTTATTCATTTGTATTTGTAATTTATAATATAAAAAATATATTCTTGCTAGATGAGTTTTGTTTAAAAATAGGAAAATTTATTATTCATCCATCATTAAATAAATAAGAAAATTCTGATTCCCCTTCATTCTTGACGAGCTATCACCTAGTACATATATATATTACTCAACAAATTTCGCCCAATACGCGTCCTCCAAAAAGGGACTTCTCTAATTGCACGTTCCGTTGATTATCTTCTTTTGAACCCGCAATTATAGGAACTTGTCAATTTTCATTTTATCAGAAACCACAATAGATACGAATGGCTCTGGGCCATCCCCAATAAAACTTAGATACATACCTCTCCCGAAAATCTCATAATATCATCTCCTTCTAACAGTAATATCGTCACACCATACACATGCTCTCTCTACAACACTTAGGTTGATAGTTAAGGTAATCACTCCTTACTGTAAATTTTCTTAGGGTAGACACCCCCTTCACTGGACAATTACCAACTTAATTCACAAGGCGTTTCTATAAACACATTCTTTCCACATTAGATCCAGTCGGATTAGATATCTCTCTTTGGTATGGTATTATACCTGTATAAAATCGAATGCACACTACGAATTCATTGGGTCCGCCGAATAATCCAAACGTAACAAATATTCGTAATTAGAAAATATACCTTTTTTACCCTTTGCTTAGGGAACTTCGGCAAAGATGTAATTCTATTTTTAAAAACTTTAGGCAAGAAGTTAACAACAATCACTGGAGATCCTTGAGAAAATTTATATCTCAGACAAAGAATATCTCTTGAGATATTTAGACCGAATTTATTTCTGTCCTGAGCTTGCCTAACAAAACAATTTTTTAATCCCCCTCTACCATTTTTTTAAAAAATATTTTAGTTTATATAATTTTTAAATATATATATTTTTTAAACGTTTTGAATATTTGAAATTGAAAATTTAAATATAAATAAAAAAAAAATATAAATTACTAAATTTAAAATATCACATATTTACACTTATAATAATATAAATATTTTATGAATTCTTTTTTTTAATATTAAATAGACAATACATTTTTATTCATAAAAAATCGACTCGGGATCAGAGTTACATGGTTCATTGAGCCGACTCTACTCTGAGTCGTTTTTTATTGCTCCTCGAAAAAACTCGACTATTTAACAACACTAGTGATAAGCCTCCACTTTTGATCTAAAAGATTATTTATTTCATTCAGTTTGGTTACGGTTCAGTAAAAAAATTATATAATGGTTATGGTTCGGTTCTTATGAAAAAAATTACAAAGTTTCGGTTCGGTTCAGCTAATTATAAGGTTCATTATGGTTAGAAAAATTATTTCTATTGAAGCAATACCATCATATAATGATTTTAATCATGAATATCATTTATTAAATTTTTTGCCATCACTTAAATTAAATATATTTAAAAAGAATTTAAATATATTATTATAAGAAATAAATACAAAATAAATATGAGAAATATTCTAAAATTATGATATTATTTGTTAGATTTTGAAGTTGATTATTATAAAAAATAAGGAAGATTAAATATTAAAATATATATAACATCAAACCTTTTTTGTATTTAGAAGTACGGGTAACTTTATTTTGAAACAGAATTAATTGAATAATAATTGGTGAATGATTTTAAAATCATTTTGTTTCGTATATATATCTTTTTTCTTTTAATATTCAAATAACATTTTTTAACCAAAAAAAAATTTGAATAACGAAAGAAATTAATAATTTTAACATATACTAACAATTCCCAACTAAAATTATTATATAATAATAATAAAAACTAATTATAATATTCAAAATATAAAAAAAAAGGAATTCATTATTTAAAAAAATGAATAAACACTACAATAATAACTAATTATAATATTCAAGAAAGTAATTACATAACCATATAAAAAATTAATAAAAAATAGGAATTAATTATTTAAAAAAATTAATAAATACAACATTATTGTTTAAAAATTTACATTTCACATCTAAAATATAATATAAACAGATTTGACAAGACAATACAAAATCTATTTTTCATAATAATGCGTTAAAATATAAATGTCAAAATTCTATAAATTTTTTTTTCTTTTTAGCTTTCACCTTTTCTGGTGGTAAGCTCCTTCAATATCTCTCTCCACTTTATTACTCATGCTATCTATTTTTATCTAATTTATATTTCTGATCGATTCCATTTGAATCTCCCACTGGAGTATCGCTATCAAAGCCAAAGTATCTTGATCTTACACTGAAGTATCAATATCGACAGATATCCCACCGGAGTATTCCTCACTCCGAAATATCAAATCGACAGATATCCCACCGGACTATTCCTATAGTTCCATTGTAATCTTGATCTCCCACCGGAGTATCGTTATCAAGTCCATTGTAGCTTGGTAGACATAGAGCTGAACGGCCCTCGAGGTCACCATTATCCTAGCACTGGCCAAGAAATCCCCGTCATCGAAGAAAAACTTGAAAATTTTTAGTTCATTACCTGGATTGAACCTGGGACTTTCGGTTTTCAAGCATACATCATACACCACTGGGCCACCCCGGCGACGTCAAAATTCTATAAATAATATATAAAATTGAAACCTTATAAATTTGGTCATTTTGAAATTTATATGAGAATAATGACCCTTCTATCAAACTACTCATGGGTAGATGGTGATATTATACTTAAATTAATTTAAAAAATGCAACTAAATCAAAAATCTACAAATTGGTTATTTAGATATTTTGCACAATAAAATAGAGAAATTGGAATGCTCTAATACTAACTATATAAAGCAGTTAAAAGATTGTGGATCAATTTAAGTCATAGTGAGAAAATTAACTACATACTTATGGATATTAAACAAATATTTTGATCATTTAATAATTATAAATAAAATAACGACGCAGATATGGTAAAATATGTAATACCCCACAAAAAAAAGAATGTAAAATTATTTATTTTATTTTGGTTGAAACCGGTTTAACTTATTTTTATAAAGGTTCTTTTTACTCCTTCAAAAAATAATAATATAACAGTTTAGCGGTTCATTACGGTTCACTCCGGGTCCTTGTTATATTGTCCCGGTATTTTTATTAAATTTTTTTTTCAAAAAAGCAACCATAAAATTTATAAGTTTTTTTAACATGAGCAAATATAATTTATATTTTGTTACTTGATTATTATTTAGAATCAACCAGCCCCATTCATTGATCAACTATTATAAATAAAATAACTCATTTAAATATAATCCATTGCTCAAGCCTTAAAATTATCTCCATATTTATATATTTTTTAGTATAAAATAAAACATATAATTCTAGCACCGAGGGTAGTGATGCAAAATTACTCCATTTAAGCTGATTTTAAAAACAGCTAACTCAGTATTTTACCCGGAAAAATATTATGCAGGCCTGAAAATTTTGCTCATAGATGGCACAAAGTTGGACATATATAAGCGAAATCTTGAAAATCTATAATAGAAATTATAAATTTTGTGTTATTTAATTAAAATGACCAATAATATTCCTAAAAATTTAATAATGAAAAAGTAGAAATTAACATGATTTTTATAACGGAGGGGCTGGGGGCGAAGCCCCCCAGACTCGTAGAGGCATGGATATAAACCTTTCCCAAAGGAAAAATTAGCTATCATGATAGACTGTTCGATGATGAAAATCCGCCACATATATCTTATAATTCAACCAAGACCCGCTTACATAGCCCAACATACCATTTATGCCTCTTTTTTGCATTTATATATATTACTTTGACAATTCTTGGAACATATAAAGACAATAGCTATAAATACAATCAAATAATTCTATAGAAAAATCGACTTAACCTTGGTTAAATTATCGCAAAAATATTACTTTGAAATAAAGTATTTAATCGAAGATAAAAGTATACATGGATTATAATAAAATCAGTTTCTCACATTTTTCAAGTTTGGTTCTTTGAGACAAGTCGTAAGATGACAATTTCCCTTCACCTAGGCCAAAAACGTGTTAAGAACATCAAATAATTTGTTGTTTAGATTGTAATATTATTAATATATTTTGTTATTTTATATCATGTATTGGACCCATGTTAAGTATGCTCTTACAACATATGATTAGTAAATTAAGGTTGAACAATAAAGAGTATTTATGCTTAATATTTAGATATCAAAAACAGTCCATTACTTCAGTTTCAGCTTTGGGATTACCCTGGACAAAGCATCAAAAATATGTTTGATTCTCAATCCGATGCCGAAAAATTATTCAAAAATTGTGATGCAATCATATTTGTCATGGATGCTCAAGTTAAATTTTCACACAATATATTATGATCATTGTATCTTTAGTTCTTTTTAGAACATTTTTTTTGCTTCAGAAAAAGGAGTGAATGCAAGAAAATGATTGTATATTTGTGACATTTCTGACCTATTTAAATGTCTTGATTACATTATGAAAAATGTGTATCTTTACGTTTATTAATATTAATGGAAATTTTAATTAAATTTTGTGGACAGGATGACAACTCTAACCCATTATCCCTATTTGTGGCCACAATGCTAAAATCCCGTCCCATTAATCCCCACCTAAAGTATCAACTGTTCATACACAAAATTGATGGCTTAACTGATGAACAAAAAATAGGTAATAACCTTTTTTATTATAAAATATAGGGCATTTTATACATTTTTTAAAATCAATTTTCTATATCTTAGACTTTTTTGAAATGATTTAACACGAGGACGTACCTGAAGGATCTTTATATATTCAATAATTTTCTTAATAAGTTGCTATATTTTGCCAACCATTCCAAAATAAAAAATAGCATAAAGTGAAACTGTTCATTAACTGTAATTATTTTAACTTTGTAAATTATTATTTACGTTTAGGGGACTAGTTTTTATTTGAATCCATATCTAAACTAAAAATTTTAATTTAATCATAATGACTTACATTTAATTTAATTATCTAGAAACGCAGCGATCCATATACCATATTTTGAGGGAGGATATGGATGAACCCACTCTAAAAGATTTATACGTTAAGTGAGTAATAATAAATCATAATTATAATCAATAAAAAGAATAATAATTAGGAGATAGGATGCTATATCCTTAAAATGGAGAAATCTCCATAGAAATTTATCAGACTTAAGCCTTAGCATTTGTTTAAAAATAATTTTATAGAAACTCATCCTGGAATCTGGGCAAATCAGCTGATTATACGTTTTTTTAATGTTACAACTTGTAAGATTATTTTCATATTTTATTATTTTAAAAAAGGTTTTACATGACGAGTATTTACGATTATTCTATATACGAAGCCGTGAGCAAAGTAGTGCAGCAACTCATTCCTCAACTTCCCACTTTGGAAAATCTGCTTAATATCTTTATCACGGTTTTAAACATTTAAAAAGCTTTTAATTCACACAGACCCGTCATTATGGTTTTGCATTTTAATTATTGATTTTATGAGTTAAAAAAGAATACGTTTTTTGAAGTGGGTAGTACAAGAATATATATACTAAGTTATTTAAGAAGAGTAAAGGGAAATAGTATAGCTATTTAAAGGTTAATAAAATCTATATAAAAGTATGTGGAAGTAATAGTTAAAACTGAAATAAATTAGATGTTCAATTCTCACCATTACATGATGATGAAAAATAAGAAATTAAGCTTTTGGATTATGAAAATCAATCAAAACATTATAGTAAGTTGTTTAAATTACAATTAATTTTAAAAAATATTTATGTTTTTAATTTTTTTTATTTATGAATAATTTTATCCGTCATTTTGATATATCAGTTCAAAAAAAAATTCATGATCAGATCGATCACATATTTCAAAAATCAATACGTCCAAATGAAAGTCCCTAATTTTGTAGAGGATGGGTGGGGGGGGATAAATTAAATATGGTATTCAAACCTATAGGTTATTTTATACTTTTTAACCTAATTGAAAAGATATTTGAAAAATGTGCAGATGTACCTGGCTCGGATCTTCCCTATATGAATCCGGCCTTTTCTATTAAATTAGCCTGTTCCTTTTATAATTAACAGGGCCCGACTCGTACCTAAAAAATCAGAAATACTTTGGACTTAGTTCGGCCTAATTTTTATTCGATAAGGCCGGACTGGGCCGGGTCTATATTTTTAAAAAGAAATCGGGTTCGGGTGGGTCGGGTCAGGCTTTGGATTTTTTTTTAATATATCTAAATTTATCAATTTTATCTTGAATTTTTAATGTAAAATAAAAATATTTGATTTTATTTGTAGAAACAGACGCCATTTCTATATTTCCGGTAAATTTTTATTTCGGATTCAGGCCGGGCCAGCAAAACTTTTTAATGATATTGGCAAAATTTTTTAAAAAAAATTTCGGGCCGGGCTTGAAATTTTAGGCCCGAAATTACAACACAAAAAAGTATTTTTTGATTTAGAATAAACATTTAATTAATCATGATAAATGTAATCTAATGTTTTATTATCTATATATATAATCACCGTAATCAAGAAATGAACGTTATAATCTCAATGTTAATTTTTCTTTTTCCTTTCATCTTAATGTTAATTTTTATTTTTTCTATCAAATTTTCTATCCTCTTAATGTTAAATAAATCGATGGAGACTATATATCTCTAATGTTAAATTTTAAGAAAATTTTTTGTACATTACGGGATTCGAACCTATGACTTAACGATTTAAAGGCAAACGTTCTTCCACTCAGCCACCTTCCATATTAGATTTTGTAATATAATCTTTCTTATATATGTTATTAATTTGCTATTAACATATTTTTCAATTAATTTATATAATTTAGATCTTATTGTGTTATTTTAAAAAGAATACTAACCTCACCTCAAATTATGGTAAGAATGAATATTATTAAATTTAAAATAGCAAATTAAATTATATTTAGTCAATTGAAAAATAAAAATTTATCTCATATTAATTTTAGCGTAGGTATTTATATTCAATCAAAGTAAAATTTATTAATTTTTATAAAATTATTTTTGTATTACAATTTAGATTTAACAAAAAATTTAAATTATATGCCACCCCAAAATATTGTAGAAATTTTTTTATTTTATCTCAACCACAATGGGAGCTCTGCAAATAGTATAAAATACCTATTTATCAATATCTTCCCATGCCAGAAAATTAATCTCCCTCACTAATCCTAAGTACTTATTATAATTTAGATTTAACAAATAAATTTAAATTATATTTATCCAATTAAAAAATAAACATATATCTTATATTACCACCCCAAAATATGCCAGTATAAAAATTTTATCTCAACAACAATATTTGAACTCTGGAAATGACATACAATTTTAATTTATCAATAATATCTACCCTACATTTTTAATTACAATTTCATATATTTTAGGCTAAATTTAATAAAATGAATAAATAATCACTAAAATTTGTCATTTAAAAAAAATGTATTTAAAAAAAATTTCATAGAATAGTTCAAGATTTTATTATTCCCGTCATTCTTGACGGTTTATCAACTAGTAATTTATATACATACAAAATTAATTAATGTTAGTATTAGTAAATATAAATGTGTTCCAAATTCACAATAATTCTATATAAACAATAATAGAATGCAGCATATTTACATATATTTTCTGCTTCTCCTCAATGATGGCAAATTAAAAAGATCATACTAATAGTTTTTCATGATTATTCATTAGTGAAAACTATGGTCAGATGCAGACGCGTACGCAGGAATTTGATCTGGGGGAGGGGGTAATAAAAAATTTTAAGAAATCTTAATGTTATTTAAAAATATCAAGCATACAAATTTATTAGGACTAATATCTATTTCTAATACACAATTTTAAATTAATGTGAATTATAAAAAATTATATATATAAACCGGCACATAAAAAACTATAAAATAAATGTGAATTAAAAAATATTAAACGGATATAACTGGTAACATATGCAAAACTATAAAATAAATGTGAATTATAAAATATAAAGTGCATATAACCACCATATGAATCACTTAAATGACCCAAAATAAAATTTGAATTTTTTAAGCCTTTAAAATTTATATATAAAGAATAAAAAATTTAAATGTTGGAAATATAAATTAATGCACAAAAAGTTTATTAGGAATAATTGTATTTTGTATGTTATATATTTACAATGTAAAATCCAATCTCTGTTGGGATTGATCTAATTTTTCAATTATCTTATACTTGCTTGGAGTTAAATACCTATGAATATTCATATCCTAACCATTCAACCTACTTTCAGAAGTTGTACTTAGGTATGTTTTTCAGAGACCTGCAGGCCCGGCCCCCGTTTTTTAAATATACCCGGGCCGGGCCCGAAATTTTTAAAAAAAACACCCGGGCTGGGTCTAAAAATTTGTAAAAAAAAATATACGGGCCGGGCTGTATATTTTAAAATCAATATTTGAAATCGCCATTATTAGCTATAAAAATCAAAAATAAATATAATTTATTTTAAATCCGGGTCGAGCCTGAAAATATTTATAAAAAAAATCCCGGGTCGGGCTGAAAAATTTTTAAAAAAATCCGGGCCGGTCTGTATATTTTATAACCAAATATTTCAAATCGCCATTATTAGCTATAAAAATCAAAAATAAGTATAATTTATTTTAAAAAAATCCGGGCTGTGCCCTGCAAATGGTACTTCTGCAGGGCTCTGTTATTCTTCTAAAAAAAAGAATGTTCTCTCATTAGTTTACTAATGGGAAGAGTTGCTAATATATATATAACCATTTTAATACATTAGGAATATAATCTAAAATGTGCTTGAAATAATGCAAAGCATCCATAGCATTTTTCGGGACTATATCATAGTTAAGCTTTTAAACATAGTTATTCAACTAATAAGGCATCATAAGATACTTTAACATCTTCATGATTAAAATCTAACAAATATTTTTTTTTCTATAACCATCTTTAAAAGGTTAGGAAGGCTTTTGTGGAAGTAATATCTGCAGATTGGCAAGTGCTGCACGATGAATTAAAAACCTTGGGTTAGAAATGTATCGAGAGGGGGCATTTGTTTTATAATACTCTTCTACTGATCCTATATTAATGTTTTGACGATGAGTTTGCCTTGCTGCAAATCTAGGAAGACAAATATTAAACACGTATAGCTCTGCCTTTGACTCAACAATAAAATATGGAATTTTTCATCAACATTAGCCCTAATTTCCTTGAGTTCTAATAAAATGCTCTTCGCATTCTCATATTCTTAATCAAGTCAATGTCATGTTTTTGAAAAGTATTACATAAAATAGTTGTATAATTAAATAATACATTCTAATGAGAAAAATTTTTTGGAATAAGTAGTGTTGTTAAACGACTCAGCCGAGTCGGCTAACTACGACTCAAGTCGAGTTTTGAGTCGATTAGTCGACTCATTTTTACGACTCGAGTTATGAATTTGAGTCGTGAACTCAAGTCGTGACTCGAGTTTTGAACTTAAGTCGTGAACTCAATAAATAGTTAATTAAATTTTATGAAACTCAATTTCTTATATAAATGTTATTTATTGGTTAATTGTGTAAAACCCAGATCCATTAGCAATGAGCACAAACCCCAAGCACAACCAATATATTTTAAGTTGTTTTTTCTATACCTTATTAAGGTATATAAATATATGATTATTAGAGGCATCAATCAATAGCTAATTAGAACTATTGAATAATTAGCAAACCAAGAGCTACCACTCTATGGCAATTACTACGTAGGTTAGGATTAATTTTATCAGCACCAAATATTGATATGATGGATGGGTATATCGAATAAGTCTAGTTCTACCTTAATATGGTGTATATAAGTTTGACTTGGGAGCGGGGGTAAAAAATAAATATGGTTACCCGTATAAAATTTTTGACCATCGCATTTCTCTAATGGGCATGTTTAGATCTTAACATTTTATTTTTAACTTTTGTACAATATTAAGAGAAAAATATCTGCTAGATTGCTAAATTAGGGTTTAATTCGAGTTCAGGAATTTTAAACTATATTTAACGGAAATTTTGATAACATGAACTTAATTGAAATTCCTAAAATTATTATCCTTTGTTTGCAAATAAAGAATTCCTCGTAACATTACCCAAAAACCGTTTGAAAAAAATGTTATGTATGGAAATTATCTTATTTATTATTGCCTGAGCTCTTTCCTGATTTCAATATGGGAAATTATAATCTTCAATAATAGTGTTAGACATAATCGATTAGCTAATTAAGAGGCTAATTTTGAGGATTAAGATATTTAATAATATATATTTTTTTAAAAAAAATCTTATTTATAAACCCCAAACTATTTTCCTCCTGAAATAGTGTCCTGACTTTGTTTAAGAATTTTAATAATTTATTGATTTCTTCAAAACAAAGTACAG